GAAAATCATTCTTACACACATTTTAGCTCGACTAAATTGGCAAAAAAAAATCTGCCAGAAAAGTAATCTGTGTGCAATACTTACACGTGCATTTATACCTTTAATAAATTTGTTAGCTACCTTAGAAAAGACTGTATTTTTCCAATGCAGCATACAGGAGCTAATCAAAACAGTTTAAAGCATATGAAAATAATAAATAACATAATAATATTACGAGAAAGCAATACAAATATGCGTTCCAGCTAGCCAATGGGCTAAAGAGATGACCACCAAGAAACAGTAACAATCCAAATTGACCCCTCAGTCAACAAGCAGTCAGAAAAAGAAAGGTTCTACTAAAGGCAGCAAGGAGGGAATCAGTTGTTTTTCCTGAGAGAAGTGGTTCAATAAATGTGAAACCACCCCTGAGAAGGTTCTGGAAAACTTTATTCATACAGGCAGGAAACCAGGTTTAAATGCATCTAAATCAGGGGCCTGAAACCTTTCTAGGCAGGTTTTCATCTCCTCTACCTCTTGTGGACCAAATTTGACAGCTGGGACCTGTCAATCATCTCACGTCATAATGCTTGTCACATGACTTTGCTGCCTGCAAGGGTCTTCAGGAGGCCTCTCAAAGCACCATTGTTCAGCACTGAGGTCTAGCTCTGAGGGCCTTCTGACGGTTCTCTCACTGTGAGAAGTGAGGTTACAGGGAACCAGGCAGGGGGCCTTCTTGGTAGTGGCACCCGCCCTGTGGAATGCCCTCCCATCAGATGTCAAGGAAATAAGCAACTATCTGACTTTTAGAAGACATCTGAAGCCAGTCCTGTTTAGGGAAGTTGTTAATGTTTGATGTTTTTAATATTCTATTGGGAGCTGCCCAGTGTACTGGGGAGGCCCAGCTAGATGGGCGAGATATAAGTAATAAATTATGATTATTGTTATTATTTTGTGCAGTGCTTTGAATGGGGCTTCTGGAGAAGATATGACAATCAGCTGATTCTCAGAGCTCCAGAAGCTCCACACAAAGCACTTTGAAAAGGGCTTTGCAGGCATTGTCTATCAGCTGGTGAGCAATGCTTGCAAGCACCCTGTCCTCCAAGCCCTGCCCTTACTTGATTTGGGGGGAGCTGCCCCCCCCCAGCTACGCCCATGGATAACCTACCATTTTGGTGTTTTTTTTAAGAATATTTTTTTATTAACCGACCAATCACATCAAATCAAACCAAATTACATAAATTCCAAATTACACAGCCGAATTTTAAATTTTTGTTGGGGGTACCCATATTTCAAGTTCCGAAGGGATCCAATCAACTTCTTGCTTCTTACTGCTGTCTTAATGTCCACAAATCTAACCTTATGATGTTCACAGTACTATCCAGTCCTTTCTTATTATTTTTCCACATCTCTTGTTGTTATTTTCATATATTTTCCTTTCTCTTTGTGACCTCTGATAGTCTCCATAAGCTGGTTAGAACAGTTTGTAATCCTGCGTGGATATTAATTTTTTTATCCAGTAGCCATATCCAGACGTTTTCCATATAACATCACTTCCATACATCAAAACAGTCTTAGCGTTATAAATCTTCACCAATCTGCCTCCTTTCTCAAAACCTCTGAGGAGATTCACTAGGAATGCAGTCTGAAAACAAATCTGTTTTTCCTCCCGGCTATAAATCCTTTGGCAAGATGGCAACTCCGAATTTATTGCTGCGCCATTCCCAAAAGCTCTTATTGCTTCTCGGTCTCCATAAAGCATACTTTTGGTTAAAGTTTATCTCCACACAGACCTTAATCATCCTGCTTGGGTCAGTTCAACCGATGGTTCTAATGAGGAGGGGTTCTTGTAAATCACATAGAAGGAAAGTAAAAAAGGTTCCCCCCCCCATTCAGCCCCGTTGTCAACATACCCCGCCTTTGGTGTATCTTCATCGTAAAATATTCCTGTTTCTCCAGCCCATCGTCTTCTTTCGCAGAGGTCACTTAAATTAGCAGACTTCACTCCCCTTCTTCACTTGAAATATGTGCATTTGCTTCTTTTGTAATTAATTATTCCAAATTGCTGCAACTAGTGCGCGATCAGAGACAGCGTCCAGGAGAGCCGATGTCCACAGGGGGCATTCTGCCTAGGGCCCTCACCCCCTTCTTTCGAATTAGGGGGTGATTTATGGGCACAGCAGGCAAGGGCAGTGTTCCCCATTTCCTTGGGGCAACAAGGGAGGCTGCCTACTCCCATAACAGCCTCTTAATTACCCCGTGTGGGTCGGAGAGATGGTATTGTCGGCCATCTTCCAATGCGCCCCCTAGTGGCCCCCCAATAACCTACCATTTTGAGCCCACACAAAACAACCATTCTACTGCTTTTCTGCCACACACTGGCATTAGCAAAAAAAAAAAAAAAATCCCCTCTTGATTGGGTGGATGACCCAAATGACAAAACTAAGCTATGCTGGGGTGAGATTGTTAACCCGGAGGTCACTTGTGTGGGATCAGCTTGTTCTGCTTCCAGCCTTCACTCCTGCTGTTTACATAAGCATCTTGCCAAAAGTGAAATCCCGTAACAACTCACAAGCAAGAGCACCACAGAAACAGTGCTTGTAGGGATAAAATATTCAAAATCCTAACCCTTTGGCTTTGTTACAGGACAGCTACCCCCCACCAGCCTTGGTCCAGTATACCTGAAGGAGCGTCTCCATGCCCATCGTTCAGCCCGGACACTGAGGTCCAGCACCGAGGGCCTTCTGGCAGTTCCCTCCCTGCGAAAAGTGAGGTTACAGGGAACAAGGCAGAGGACCTTATCAGTAGTGGCACCCGCCCTGTGGAACGCCCTCCCATCAGATGTCAAGGAAATAAACAACTACAGTCATACCTCACGTTACAGCTGCTTCAGGTTGCGTTTTTTCGGGTTGTGGACTGCCGAAACCCGGAAGTACCAGAACGGGTTACTTCCGGGTTTCGGCAGTCACGCATGCACAGAAGCGCTAAATCGCAACCTGCATGTGCGCAGACGCGGGTTGCGAACACTGTGGGCTGCGAATGTGCATCCCGCATGGATCACGTTCGCAACCTGAGCATCCACTATATCTGACTTTTAGAAGACAGTCAGAGTTCAGTGGTTCAGTGTTCGTGAGTTCAGAGTTCTGTGCCAGTGTAGGAGCTGTGAGTCGTATCAGAGAGAGCTAGCAAAATATCCATGTTCTGTTCCTGTAAATAGTCCACTGTATATAATAAACACCTAACTACAAGTTCCTGGTTCCTGCTTTGTCTATCCTGCCTGCAGCCAAGTCGCCAATTGCTTCCGTGGATTCTGCGTTTACTCTGCTAGGTCTGGCTAAGGTCCTGCAACTAGTCAGAAAGTTGCAAAACACCAAATAGGTTTTACCAGTGGGAGATCCAAGAAAACTTGCTTGTCCCCATTAACTCCACCTCTGTAAACCACATCCTTCCCTTAGGGTTTTCTGTATTTCACTTCTGCTGTCTGGGCTGTTGGTATTCTGCTTCTCATCCTCCGACGGGTGCGTAGTCACTATTTTCAGAAGTGAAAGCAGTTTTAAAGTAATTCAGCGCATTGGGGGGCACATTCTGTGCTGAGAAAACTGTAAAACATCAGAGGTCCCTGCTTGGCTACAGCCCCCTCGCCCCGGTCTCTTACTCAGCACTGTGGTTAATTCCATCCTAAAGTGTTGGTTGCATTGGTGTGGTAGAGCACATTTTCTGCTGCTGGCCTGGGAACCTATTAAGCAGTCTTTGTGAAAGAGGATTTGAAAATCCCAAGTAGGAAAGGTGTGAACCGTAAGCCTTTCTCCACTTTGGGAAATGGACAGTTTTCAGGCCTCATCTCAGTCAAGAGTAGCGGCAAGGAACTGTGAACATACACTCAGCATGGTCTACGGAACACAGTTTTTACAGCCTTGTAAGTTTGTCAGTCCTCATGAGAGAATTCTCTTTGGAAATAAATAGAGTTTGCCCAAAGCAGACATAAAAGAAGCAGCTGGGCAGTTTTATATCCAGCTACCAGGAAAAGAACATAAAGAACCTTTCCCCATAATTTATATGCTGTACATGCCAAGTTGAACATAAATAGTAACCTAACATAGATGCCCACTGTAAAAAAATAAAATAAAAATTATGCAAGTGTTTCTCACATCAAAAGGTGTCATGTAGATGCTGAACTATGCATGGTAGATGTATTTATAAAAAAAATAACTATCAGAAGTCAGAGCCACATGAATTCATTTCTGGATAACTATCCTTAATTAATTACGGTATATGTACTACTGTCAATATAAACCGACTAATCAGAAAATCAGTCTACTGAGCCTCAGGTTGAAAAACAGAGGCTAACAGAGCATATGTGTTTCCTGCTCCGCACACAGAAAGACATTAATGCAGGGGTCGGGAACCTAAGGCCCATGCGCCGGAAGCAGCCCATGGAGGCCATTTAATCGGCCCACAAGCCGCCTCCGAACTGAGCCGCCCACTCGACAATTCCCCACACACTGTGCTTAACCGGAGCAGCACGGCGCGGGGACTCTCTTCTGCAGCTCTGGAAATCGCTTCTGCGCATGCCCAGGCGCCGGAAATCGCTTCTGCACTGGCACGATTTTCTGTGTCTGGGCAGACACAGAAGCGATATCCGACGCCGCAGACATGCGCAGACGCGATTTCCACTGTCGCACTGCACCTGCCTGGCCCACAGTGTATCTCCGCGGGAGTGATCCGGCCCGTGCCCAGTAAGCCTTGCCGACCCCTGCATTAATGTCTTGATGACTGCAACATCAAGTGGCAAGTGTAAATGAACCATCATAGATCAACTAATAGAGTTGAGGGAATAGAGGAGGGATTATGTGAGCTTATTTGCTCATTCAGAAACTATAGCTCCATCCATAGTCACCTGCTGTCAGTCGTCCCTTGCGGCCAAAGGAAGGAAAGTCATGTAGAGACCAGTCAACATAAAGTTCCCATAAAGCATAGGCTGTTTCCACATGTGAATTTACTGAGGGTTCGTTTACAAGATGGTTGACTGGATAGCTCAGGTGGTTAAAGCTTGGTGCTGATAATGCCAAGGTTGCAGGTTAGATCCCCGTATGGGACAGCTAAATATTCCTGCACTTAAGTGGACTGGACTAGAATGATCCTCAGGGTCACTTCTAACCCTACAATTCGACAAATCTATATCAGACAGCTAACATGCACCCCATGCTGAAGCAGAAATTTCATGAAGTTATTTATATCTCCATTCTGAGGAGGGGGGCCTTTATTTTGCTTGCTGGAAAAAGTGGAGGCACAGCAAGACCCCACAGATATCCTCACTTGGCAGTGTCACTAAGCAATGTGGAACATGCAGTACAATCAAGGTGCAGCCCATTTTCCACTCTGGGATTTAAGTTTTTGAGGCCCAGGGCAGGGAGTGGACATTTGGGGTTGAACTACACATTACACTTAATGTGTAAAGGTAAAGGTAAAGGGACCCCTGACCATTAGGTCCAGTCGTGGCCGACTCTGGGGTTGCGGCGCTCATCTTGCTTTATTGGCCGAGGGAGCCAGCGTACAGCTTCCGGGATATGTGGCCAGCATGACTAAGCCGCTTCTGGCGAACCAGAGCAGCGCACGGAAACGCTGTTTACCTTCATGCCGGAGCGGTACCTATTTATCTACTTGCACTTTGATGTGCTTTCGAACTGCTAGATTGGCAGGAGCAGGAACCGAACAACGGGAGCTCACCCTGTCGCGGGAATTCGAACCGCCAACCTTTTGACTGGCAAGTCCTAGGCTCTGGGTTTAACCCACAGCGCCATTGTATAAAAGAAGAGTGTTCAACAGGCATAGCATCCCAGTTGCTGCCAAAAGTCCTTCTCCCCAGTCCTTCAAAAGTCCATCTCATCACTAACCACCCCTCATGACTGCAGGGCATCTAGTTACACTTGTATTTAAAAATGCACACACTCATTTGTACGTCTAGGTGCCCACTTAGAAATAATTGCTCTCATTTTAATAGAAATAAGCTCCACATCGTGGAGAAGACTGTGAGCAGGTGCCCTTCAAATGGAGGACTGCCCTCTGTAAAATAGGACACAAGGCTGCCCTACAGCGCTGCTATGGTTGTTAAAAGAAAAACACGCAGCAACGTAGTGTTAGATTTTTAAAAGCAGGAGCTCCTCAAGACAGCCCACTTAGCCATGACCTCTAGGAGAGTGCAAAAAATGCACGCAGCTGTTGTGGAATATTATCACGCACACAAGTAGCAGAAGCATGTAGTTAAAAACTCAATTTATTAGTATCAGCATGCCTAGAAAGTTTCCTGGGACTAAGCTCCAGTGAGCTCCGCAGTGCTTACTTCTCCTGCAATAGGTTCAACGTGCAAAACACATCGAGTTTTCACAAAAGATCTTCAGCCAGCTGAAAGGCAATCTTTAGCTTTTAATTAGACATGCACAGAAGTGTTACCATTTTAAACGGCTAATGTAAAGTCGGAACCCTATCAATGGAAAGAAAAAAGCATTCAGCAGCTTTTTGATTATTTTCCTCATTTTCTGGCCTCCTTTATGCTAACTGCCACAAACTTGAAAGCGGAATTATCCCCTCGTTCACTGCCAGAGGAAGGACAGTTTATCAATTTCCCTGGCAGGCTAGAAGACAGGGTCCTCACTCCCGCTCTGGCGGGCTGAGTCTTGGAGCTATGTTCACATGCCTCCCTCTTCCAAGAAACATAGGTGAAGGTAAAGGGACCCCTGACCATTAGGTCCAGTCGTGACCGACTCTGGGGTTGCGGCACTCATCTTGCTTTATTGGCCAAGGGAGCCGGCGTACAGCTTCCAGGTCATGTGGCCAGCATGACTAAGCCGCTTCTGGGGAACCAGAGCAGTGCACGGAAATGCCATTTACCTTCCCACCAGAGCGGTACCTACCGTATTTTTCACTCTATAACACGCACCCGACCATAACACGCACGTAGTTTTTAGAGGAGGAAAATCCGTAGGCATGCCACCCATGGGCATTCCCTCCATAACACGCACAGACATTTCCCCTTACTATCTAGGAGGAAAAAAGTGAGTGTTGTGGTGCAAAAAATACGGTATTTATCTACTTGCACTTTGACGTGCTTTCGAACTGCTAGGTTGGCAGGAGCTGGGACTGAGCAGCAGGAGCTCACCCTGTCGCGGGGATTCTAACCGCCAACCTTCTAATCGGCAAGTCCTAGGCTCTGTGGTTTAACCCACAGCGCCACCCGCGTCCCTCCAAGAAACATACCTGCATGCTAAGTATTAAGTGTAATATGTATTTTGCCCCTCATAGGTTCTGGAGCTCCCTTCCTTCGGACACCTAGCTAGCTCCCAGGCTGATGGTCTTTTGTAGTCCAAGATGTTTTTGTTTCAGCAGGCCTTGAGATGATGGAATTGTCAGATTTCTGCCCTGTTACTTTATGGTAAGTTCCCTGTTTTTAGCTTTCATCTGGATGCCATGTTTTTCTTTCTTCCTGCTCTTCTTTTTCATTTTTATCGTATTTTGTTACTTGAACGGTGTAAGCAGGCTCAGGCACTGGGTATGAAAAAGATGAGGTATAAATCCTATATAAAGAAACTAATTTTAAAAGTTCTCTCCAACAGATCCCACAAAGGCAAAATAAGGATAGTGCTTTATGAGACATGGGGACCAGTCCAGGGACAGTTGACTTATAAAAATCAGTCTCTTCAGCTAAGGAAGTGTGTGGGAGGGGGGGTTTATTTCTAGTGATATGTGGCACTCTTCACTAAAAAGAGAAAAAACTCTCATCTTAAAGATCCTAATGGGAAAACTAAGTGATTTACCAGTATTAAACCATGATGTAACACTGGCGCTATGAGCCAACATGCTGATGCAATTGTTTAGGATCCAGGACCTGGGGGCTTTTAAAACTATTTTGTTGTACCCAAGGGTACCATGATGTATCTTTCTGAGTTGCGAAAAATCAATCCACTGAATATCCATACAGGAAAGTGGTAAAATGTTCACACATCACCACTATATAAAGATCTATGAGATGCCCAGATGCTTTGCAACACAAGAGGAATGGTAGAATTCTCACAAGGGACTTCTGTTCCAGAATTGCTGAAATTTCATAACCTTATGTTAATTTCCAGGAAGGAACAGTTAGTTACCGTGTTAATATTATGCTGATTATCATGCAGACACACGCAAAGCTCCAGAGGTCATTACTCTATGTTTACTGTATCTCACTTGCAAAAATTAAGCCTATGCTCTTTTACTATCAATAGCCTGAAAACGGGGAGGGGGATTAAGAATGGAAACAGCAGCATTATTTCAGAATGTTTCTTTAATGTCCTATGTGTGCTATTTCCCAGAGAATTTATGGTCCGCTTGAAGGGCCCCAGATTCTATTATTACGTTTAATCACATTTCATTTTAAACCACTGTGATTTACATAATTAAAAACACAAATACAACGAATACATTTAAAATAAAACCTTATCAAGTGGGCACCTGTGTTAAAAACCCATTTATCTGGCTGGGAAAGCCTGTCTCTGGCATTTCCAACTAGGATTGGGAAACACTTCTTTTTTTAATAATAATTTTTATTAAGTTTTCCATTTAACAATCCAATCATATCACATTAATTATTCCAAAGTATACCAATACACATTATGTATTCCAAATATTTTGCCAAATTTTAAATTTTGTTGGGGGTTTCCATGTTTCGAGCTCAGTGAGGGTCCAATCATCTCATATTTCTGCTGCTTTTGATGATCACAAATCACATCTTCCAGTCTTCTTGTTGTTATCATTTTTCTTCTTAATAACCTCTGAGTTGTTTCCGCGGGCGAGCTAAACCAAACAAGGATTGGGAAACACTTCGGTCTGAAACCCTGAAGGGCCAAACCAGTCATTGTGTTGAGATGGGCCAACGGATCTGAATTGCTATAAGGTAGCTTCTATGTTCTCGCCATGTATTCTCTTGCCCAGCCTTTCCCATAAATTGCATCACACTGAACTACACACACTCACACACCGCCTTGAGTACCTTGAGAGGAAGGCGATCTACACATTTTGAAAACCAGCAAACACTGCCTCTCGCACACCAGCCAGTCTCTGAGCACGGGTGGCATAAATAGAGGAGCTGCGCTTGCTCATTCACTGAAATGTCTCGCTGCTTGAGTCATCAGCGAATGCCTGGCTCAATTTGCTCTTTGTCCTCCAGGCACGTCTGGCCTTGGTGCTGTTTTTGCTTCCTGCTCTCCACATATGGCACCACTAATGATGATAGAGTTTTGGCAGAAGAATGCGATTGTTCAAGGTCCGGGAGATGGATTGGGGTTGAAGAATCTGTGTTTATTTCTGTGATCAGAAACTGATTGCAGTCAACCACTGACCAAGCAATGACTCACTACTGTGTTCTTACTGCTTGTGAAGAGGAACCCTCCTTATCTTCCTTGTTGCATGTACATTCTGACAAGCTCCCATCTGATAAAACAGCAGCTGTACTCTTCTGAGACAGGGTCCAGAGGCTGCGCATTGCAGTAGAGGATGGAGTCAGTGTGTTCATCCTTTTGCTTCTCCCCTGCTCCATGCCCCCACTGGCCTCATATACATGGACAGGCCCTGTTTTGGGGTTCAATGTGATTTGGGGGGGCAGTAGCCACATGGCAGCAGCAACCCCTTCTTTTGACCAGCTCACAGAAGCAGCCAGGGGTCGCCACCACTGTTGCTGCACATTGATTGACTGGTTAGTCACATGATCCAGTACAGTAGCGGGAAGGGCTTCTACACCACTAAGGGTTATGTGGCAGAGGGAATTTTCACGTGTGGCTTGGCATATCCTTGGTCCAGATAAGCTGTGCCTGTTGAACACTCTTCTTTTATACAACGGCGCTGTGGGTTAAACCACAGAGCCTAGGGCTTGCCGATCAGAAGGTCGGAGGTTCGAATCCCCGCAACGGGGTGAGCTCCCGTTGCTCAGTCCCAGCTCCTGCCAACCTAGCAGTTCGAAAGCACGTCAAAGTGCAAGTAGATAAATAGGTACCACTCCGACAGGAAGGTAAACGGCGTTCCCGTGCACTGCTCTGGTTTGCCAGAAGCGGCTTAGTCATGTTGGCCACA